ATTTTCAAGTGTTTATTTTTTTTTAATAAATTTACTCTTTTAATAACTTGTTTATAAATCAAAAACAAATTCATAAATAAATCCCCCAATAATTGTTCACTTTGTTTAAATGATTAAAGAATGGGGCCATCATTAAAAATATCTTTGTTTCCCCTAACCCGACCCTAGAATCTGAAGGTGGGTAGGTAGGTAGATAACTATTTATTTTTTTCTGACAGCAGCTTTGAAAATACATTCTGAATTTCTGATAAGAACGGGTTTTCATGAAATTATATTTTATAAAAGTTGATAAACATTAAAAAAAAATTGAATAACCTTCATAAAAAAAAACTTTTCAGTCGGCGGGATTTCATTGGGTCGGTCGCGTTAGGGGAAACAAAGGTATTTTTTATTTTGGCCTGGTAGAATAATTTTACTTCATTGTCATTTAAAAAATTATTAGGTTTTATTTGAGGGCGGTAAAAAAATAGCCTGCTCTTTTTTAGCATGGTTTTAGCCTTTTCAATTTAAAAAAAATCCAGTACAGTATGTCCCTCTGAATATCTTACTGTAATGACAAGTTTGTTTGTTTTCTAAATAGTGCTAATGCAAAAATTGAGTACATAATTTGACAGCATTAATTAATTAAATAGGCCTAATTTTTTTTTTTTTAAACACCTGTATTTTAATTAGCATTAATTAATTAAATAGGCCTAGATATTTTTTTTCAGACACCTGTATTAAAGTTTAATTTAAGGAATAAAAGTCATCTCCTGACTTCCCTTTTTAAATACTTTCTTCCCTTTTTAATTACTTTCATTTTTTTAAATCAATTCTAGACTACAATTGTGTAAATTTACAGCCCCTGAAGACATTTGGTAATTACATGTAAATCTATCTCTACTTATTAAAAAATTTCTAAGAAATCCTTGGTTTTTTTTTTTATTCTTTATCTTAAACACCTCTCTGCTAGAAGTAAACAAAACAACAACAGGGAGCCTGCAATTTCAGAATACACAAGGGGCGGAGCTATCATGTCACTCAGAACCTTTTTCATGCATGAGTGAACAAAGCAGTCCCAGAAAGCAGTCCCAGGGACTGCTGGGTCTGCTTTCTAGAGCAGTCCCACAGCAGTCCCAGAGCAGTCCCAAAGCAGTCCCGGGGACTGCTTTCTGGGACTGCTTAGGTGTCAGGTTGGGTCTGGTTGGTACTGTATTCCTTTTCAGAGTCCAAAACTTTTATTCTCATGCAGGCAGTCTTTTATTGTTTTCCTTAAAAGAAGAAAAAAATATATATTTTCAGTGACATGAATATGAATATTTTCATAGGCATCTGTGTTATAAATTCAAATAAACTGTGATATCAGTATTCACAGTATCATGACTAATGAAAATTGAAACAAGATGCAACCATATTAATACATGTAGATAAAAATTTCATACATGACATTTAACCTCAAAAAGAAAATATTTTGAACCATTAATATCAGCCTTTATGTTTACCAAAAAGACAATGTTAATCTTATTAAAGAAGACAGATACAAACAGAGGAACATGTTGCTATTAACTTATTTTCTGATATAAATGGACTGGGCCACTAGCCCTTATCTTACCCCTAAGATTAAAATTGAATAACTCTGTAATTTCTTTGTTTATCATTACCTAATTTTTCTTTTGAAAGGATTATTTACAAAATATACTAATGTAGGAGTAATATAAGATTTCTCGTGATCTTCTCTAGCTAAAATACTTTTGCAGAATTGGAAAATGTTTGTCTTACTTGCAACATAATTTGTGAAAAAGTACTGGCATCAGTATCTATGGATAATTACTGAACACATATAGTTAACTCCATTTTCCTTCTTAGTCATCAGGTAGCAAAAAGACCAATAGTTGCTGCTTATAGAGCTATAGTATGATATTCAATTTATGGTTAAGGATGTACCTTTCTCCCAGTAGCATATTGCTGCTCATGAATTATTTCCTGATCTTGGAATTGTAAAAGTTGACAGGTCCCTCATTTTGAAGATAACATGCTAAAATGGAATTTATACTTTGATAAACATTTCATACATCTGGATATATATAGTCAATGTTTTCATAAAAACTTTTGAGTTTGAAGCATACCAAAGAATGATTTTAAAAATACACAATGCAATCGCAGTTAATAGTTATGAATTGCCAAACACCCTTATGTTTGTTTTCTTCACAATTAAAGAATACTTTAGGTCTAAGCAACACTTACCATCTATAAAATTTAACTCTTGAACTCTTCTCAAGTGTTTCTTCTGCATGAAAGATATGTCAATAAGGTGTTAACTCTCTCACAGTAAGCTGAGTAGCTGGAGCCTGGAAAAAGTAATAACATATATTTTGAAAACAGAAATGTATAATTATACTGACTCCCGAACAAGTCAAGCAATTGATAATGTAAATAATTGTTTAAGTAACATTTTTATGATACTATTTATTGATTTTTTTAAAACTAATACGTACAGGTAGCATCAAAAAAACATTGGGATCCATTAGTCTGGTAAATCATACATTGTTGTCATCCATGACTTTTTTCAAGAACCTGCATAATTGATTTCACTGTACCTGTTTTTGAAAAATGGACATGGTTTAGAATACAAAATAATATCTATAAAATATAACCTAACTTGTCCTCTATTAAGAAGATTGCCCCTCCCCTGGCTTCTAAATTTTTTTTTCTAGCACTAATGTAAACAGCTAAACATTCCGAAACTGTGACCTAGAATTGTTTTTCTTGGTCTTGTTTAATCCATGATCATTTACAGAAAAAAATGGAATATTATCCCCAATTTATCAAGTTACTTATCTAAAACACATATTCAGAATAGTTTTTCCTTACTTTCATCAGTTTCAATGTTTCACAATATATGCTGAAAACAGATTGAATACGTAAACAAACCTGCAGTGCATGCCAGCCCGGGAGCTCGAGCAGTTTTCGGATTTCCAAGCAATAACCTCCTTAAATCTTCTGGTAGATGAAAAGGTATCAATTCAACTGATCACTAGTTGCATATTTTCGTCAAAAATACCAGAAAATACCGATGAGACCCGCTCAACTAGATTTGAAATGATTGGCTATTCATTCGAATACACAGTGCCATATTTGGGTTGCTGTTAAAAGTAGATCGTTCGTTTTGAATTCGAGAAGACTTGGATGAAGAGGATTACACAATACCGAGGTGGAAAACATCTGTATATAGGATAAAATATATTTCAGTATTTTAAAGTAAAGGTTGTCAAATGAACGGGACATATTACTGATATTAGGGTAGAGTGGGGTAATTTCGACCACTTTTGCTGATTTGTCGCTTTCAATCCACAAATCACGAATGTTTTCAAATGTACTAGTTTAAAAAAAAGATTCAAAGTAAATTACTTGATTTTTTCTTCATATTTTTCTGCATTAGGATTTAAAAATGCATAAAAAATAATGAATTGGTTTAAAAATAAGTAAGCATGTTGCATGGGTTAATTTCGACCGAACTTGGGGTAATTTCGACCACAACAAACATCAAAAAGAAAGATAACTCTTGCAATGCAAGTAAACTCTACCTGTCGCATTAAAAAAAAAAATTATGGTCCGAGAATTAATACCGTCTCTGTCTCTCTCTCTCTCTCTCAATAAAAAGATTAAAATGGATCAGTACTAATATCCATACGACCCGACGATATATATAGCTAGGCATGCATATGTTAATTAATCTGACATATTTTTTTTAAATATAAAAGGTTATATGTACATGTAGATAATACATAATATTGTACATATACAGTATAATTAATTTCATTTTTAAGATCTAACTCTGCATTGCATTAAACAGCTGTTAAAGACAACTATCACATATTTCAGAATAAGTGGTCGAATTTACCCCGCGTCCTTAAAATCAGTAGGGGTAATTTCGACCAAAATCAAATGGACGTTTCTTGTGCATTTTGAGAGAAATCCAATATAAATTTGTAAAATTCTGCAACTTAAAGATACTTCAAGAAAAAATAAAACAATTTTAATTTAATTCGTGCTGTTGACTGTTGAACAAGGTTAAACTTAAAGAGAGGTTGTACGAGTTGTCTCTCTTGCATTTTGTAAGCCAATGAAACCAAAATGTTTGCAAAGAGTTTATTTACTGATAGTTGTGAGTCGTACAGCTGATCGTATAGTGGCTCTCCTAGCGTCTCTCTTGAAGTACGCCGTAGATCGTATTTTATAATGTACAATACATAATACTTATTACGTATGAAATAGACAAATCAGATTCAAGTAAACAAGTTATTCAATAAATTTGTACAAAATCCTGGAATTTTATAAAATAAATTGTAATTGAAACATAAACTTAAATAAGCTTCAGTCCAACGTCCTAGTATTGTGCAAAAGTTAATATAATGTTAAGATAACTTTAGCAATGTTCCGGTACTGTTCCTGTATCGACTTCCCAAGATAGATAAACATCCTGGTAGCTTACATTGTCCTTAATCCGATTACCAGGCTTGTTTACTTTTACGGAAAAGTCTTACACTTTCATATCCCGATTGGATTATAGGTCAGTGCACTCTATCTTAAGTACATTGTAAATAGTTTAATATGTTTATTTTCTGATTAAAATAATTGTCTCAAACCCTATAGGTTTACAATTTCCTTGATCAAATCAAGCGCACTGAAGACGGGGACTTCGAACGTCAAACTGGAGACATAAATAATAGTAAAAATATTATTTATATCTCTGATCAAACCATATTTGCGATGAATAATTATATTAGGAAACACAATATGAGGAATAGTTTTCTTGAATTCCAAATAAATTAAACTTGTCTCAGTACTTCCGTAGATCTTTGTGTGGTGCTGTGTTCCTGTGGTCGAAATTAAACGGTGGTCGAAATTACCCTGACTTACCCTACCTCTTATAAACAGAACTAATAAGCGTATGACTTATTCAGGGCATTTGCAATGTATGGGAACCAGTCTACAAGGCAACAAAATTCCGCCAAGGCAAGAATAAACAAAGAGATTGCGGGATGTTGTTTACGTGTGTCACTCGACACTGACTGCAAGGTAATAAAAATGTGCTTATTTGTTGTGTGTAACTGTTTCTGTCTTTCAAGATATTGAACAGCAGTCGTTTACATTTAGACGAAACATCTAGGGGAGGGAGGGAAGAAGAGGGGTCACCTCTTAATTTGTTGCATCTTCTATATAGTGGTGGTATCAGTGTCAGGATATAATAAATTAAAATGGAAAAAATCATAATAAAAATTTTGTTATAGATTTAGGACAGCTAAATAAAGGGGCGACTATTTAATGTTTGATGCGGGGGGGGGGGGGGGTTAAAAATGTATTAACCTCAAAAATGTTTAAACTGTTAAAAGATATATTCTCATCTCAAATGAAAAAATGATTAATAATCTTTCCTTGTCTTATGCCATTATTCCCTTTACCTCACTGAAATAAGAGTTTCTGAGTCAGTTTATTTTCTCCTTTTGTAGTGGCGATGGGGGGGGGGGTAGTCAAACTTTGTTCATTTAAGATAAACATGAATAATCTGTCCCTGATCATTAGGGAAATCAAATATTCTGTTCATCACTGACTGGAAAATAATTAATCCGACTTAGCTGTCGAAAAAATTACCTTTTCACAATTTATCTTTTGTAGAAACAAAGAGTGGAGAGCTAATGCATGGTGCTAAGTATGGAAAAGTCTCTTGTGGTTTGGTTGTGCCAGAGACAAATGTACATTATTTCCATGTTGGGTAATGTCCTTAAGAATGGAATTTTTTTTTCAAATACAAGGGGCATCACTTTTTCATACATTATCACTGTACAGAGATCAAAATATTTTTAAACATTGTTAGATACTCACTACATTATTCCACCTTCAGAAAAGTATTTAAATTATTTTCTCACTTTTTTTTAAAGAGACCAGTATGGTGAAGAGATTTTTTAATATTATAATCTTAAATTTGGATATTATACAGGTCAGAAGTCTCGGTACACTTTGGGTGAGTGGCAGTTGGGAAGATGGATGACCTTCAGATAGTTTGAGATGAAGAAGTTCTTTTAAATGATTGAAAGTGATCATCATAGAATCAACTCCATTATGAAGATAAATTATGAGCAAGGCAGGTGAGGAATTGACTTCAATGTGTTATCACATTGTGTAAATGAATCTTCATTATTAAGATCTTTTACATTTTATTTTTATATTTGAACTTGTTTTTCTATTATAATAATTCTAAACTTCCAAAAATAGAATTAAAGTGGTTAAAGCATGCTACAAACATTTAAAGTATCTTGGCAAGTTTTCAAGGTTATTGCAGAAGTGCTTTAATTTCAAAAGATAACTAATTAATGCAAACCTGGAAAAGAAATGGATGTTATTCTCTATAATTTCGGAGATTATGTTTATTATTAGCACTCCTTTTGTCCAACATCTGAGAGATCTGAGTACCCAGCCTACTGTTGAATTAATTGGTGACCATGAAAAGATGACAGAGAGGGGAATGAAATGTGGATGCCATCTTGATCAAGAATATATACACTGACTAGAAAATATCTGAAAATATATATATGAACATTCAAGCATTTATAATAATGAAAGTTATTCAGCAAGAGAGTTTTTGCACAAGTTTAATTTTCAGTAAAATTGTGTATATTGTGCACTGAGGAACTTAGTATGTAACTCATTATGATTATCCATTTCTTTAGAGGATTTATTTGGAGTATACTTAAATTATCATTATCTTCTAGAAAAGACCACACAAAACTTTTCTCTCTCTGCGAAGCATGACCCGTATGCATACACTCCAGCATTTACCACAACCACAGTTACATATTTTCCAGGGCGTGTGAAGTCGAGCACATACATGAAAATGTGTGAAGCTGGACACATATGCAAACACACAAGCATCTATCACAATCAATTACATATTTTCCAGGGCGTGTGAAGTCGAGCACATACATGAAAATGTGTGAAGCTGGACACATATGCAAACACACAAGCATCTATCACAACCAATTACATATTTTATAAGGCGTGTGAAGTCGAGCACCTACATGAAAATGTGTGAAGCTAGACACATATGCAAACACACAAGCATCTATCACAACCAATTACATATTTTCCAGGGCGTGTGAAGTCGAGCACATACATGAAAATGTGTGAAGCTGGACACATATGCAAACACACAAGCATCTATCACAATCAATTACATATTTTCCAGGGCGTGGGAAGTCGAGCACATACATGAAAATGTGTGAAGCTGGACACATATGCAAACACACAAGCATCTATCACAATCAATTACATATTTTCCAAGGCGTGTGAAGTCGAGCACATACATGAAAATATGTGATGCTGGACACATATGCAAACACACAAGCATCTATCACAACCAATTACGTATTTTCCAAGACCTGTGAAGTCGAGCACATACATGAAAATGTGTGAAGCTGGACACATATGCAAACACACAAGCATCTATCACAACCAGCTACATATTTTCCAAGGCGTGGGAAGTCGAGCACATACATGAAAATGTGTGAAGCTGGACACATATGCAAACATACAACATCTTCCACAACACCAGTTATATATTTTCCAAGGCGTGGGAAGTCGAGCACATGCATGAAAATATGTGAAGCTGGACACATATGCAAACATACAACATCTTCCACAACACCAGTTACATATTTTCCAAGGCGTGTGAAGTCGAGCACATGCATGAAAATGTGTGAAGCTGGACACATATGCAAACACTCAAGCATCTACCACAACCAATTACATATTTTCCAAGGCGTGTGAAGATTGATTGTATGTTGTTTAACGTCCCATTCGAGAATTTTTCACTCATATAGAGACGTCACCATATACCGGTGAAGGGCTTCAAATTTTGACCTTTACTCGGCACTCAGGGCCATTGAGCAGTGAGAGATCTTTATCGTGCCAACGCCTGCCGTGACACGGGGCCTCGGTTTTTAAGGTCTCATCCGAAGGACCCGCAACTTTCACTTCAAAGTGCCGAGCGCATGGCGAAGGAACAGTTGCTACCCATTTTTTATCGACTTAGGTCAGTCGCGGCCGAGATTCGAACTCACGACCTCCCGATCACGGAGCGAGCGCTCTACCGACTGAGCTACCGTGAACGGTGTGTGTGAAGATGAACACGTATGCAAACATAATCTCCTACCACAGACACAATACATGTAACATTTAGTCCAAGTATAAAGTCAAGCTCAAACAGGCTCACTGCGTGAAGATGGACACATGCATTTACTTATTCATCTTGCAAAACTACATCTGAACCTATATTCTAATAGGTGTTTAAGCAATTTTGTTTATGTTGTGAATATGTAAATTGCACCATTATGCTTACAAGATGTCAACATTATTAACCTGTACATAAATACTCATTAGATAGCCTTTAATAGTTTAAGTTGGAAATACTAGTACTTTGCCTGATTTATGTTGTGTAGTTTCTCGTCAGTGATCTTGAGTAATAACTGAGTTTGGCATTTTAATTCCATTTAAACTGCAAAGTTTTAACACATGTACATCCACCATAAAGGATAAATAATATTGTATTGTATTTTAACCTTTTTAATTTTATTCTTTGTCATTTTATTGCCTGTTCAAGTAAAAGATGTAATCTTCTAATGTTTATAACTGTTTTTGGTAGATATTTATGAAGCAGAAATTATAACAGAAAAGGTTTCAATATATCTACACTAAAAGCAAATAAAAAAGAGTTCTCTATCTATCAGATATCAGCTAATCAGATAAGTTAAAGGTAGAGTCATAGGGAATTTTAAAGTTTATTATATCTATATTCTGATATCTGATACCATTTTTACATTTTTGATTGTCCGTCTACAGTATACAAAAATAGTATAAATTTTTATATTTTGTAGATGACAATCTCTAATACTAAATACAACTGGAAATTGGTATAACGCTTGAAAATTAGTGTATTTTTAGTAAGATCGAGTTTAACAAAAATTGCCTGGGGTATCACAATAGACACATCAGGTACCTATTTATTTTAAAAGTCAAAAACCATTTGTTGAAATCTTAAGTAGAGTGTATTAAACAAAGGCCAGTATTTAAATAAGGATTTAAAAAAGTTTCATATATATTTAAGAAATAAATAACAAGTTTAAAAACTTCAATGGGAATTGAAGTGGGTCGGTCACGTGATCAAATCCTGTGAAGGCCGAAGGCCTTCTCAGAAGATTTGATCACGTACCGACCCACTTCAATTCCCATTGAAGTTTTTAAACTTGTTATTTATTACTTATATATACATTTGAGACGGACAATCGAATGTAATCGAATATAAATATTGCACTAACTGTACGTCGTAGATTTTGACAAATCACGCTAGTTGTAAATCGGCTTGAAAAGCGGTTACGCTTCAAATTCATCTGGCAAAGGATTCTGTTTTGAAGGGAATATTCTGTGAAAGGCTACTTGTGATCAATTATAGTGAGCATATTGGTATCTGGGAATTTTTGTATTCATGAGAATCCATATTCGATGTTTAAAAAACACAAGAAACACGTCCGATGTTTGATAATAAAAAGTTGGAGGAATTTCGGTCGGAAAGGGATGGATGGAGACACTTGAACTGACACTTGTCCGGACCAGATAACTTGAAATCAAGTACAAACTTTGATCAAAAACATAAAATCTACGATTTCAGTAAGGCATATTTATTAATTTATGATGTTGACACTGGCGACAGCTTACATTGTTAAAGACAACGTCACAACGATCTCGATGATGGAGGTGTGCCTACCGAATTTCCAAAGTGCAGTGTTTGTCAGCTGTTTGTGGCGTGATTGCATTACATTGATATTTTTCAACAGATTTTCAAATTTATTGTGAGTGAAGTTTAATGGAAAAAAAATTATAGCATTCAGAGGTCTGCGAGAAAAATAAGGGTAAACGTTGAGGCTATGCAGCTCAGACATGAAACTTATAACACGTAGTTTTCTATTCTCTATGTAAAATCGATCAAGAACTGTATTAAATACTCGTTTACATTGTAAATAAAATTATTATTATTTTACTTGCGTATTTTGTACATTTTTATGCATGAAAAACATGCTATATTGCTTAGTGGAGTAAGTCTTTTTATGTAGATATTACTGCGCTGTGTGATTAGGTCACGTAATGACCTATGACCTTCGAAAAACTTCATACAGGTATGAAGATATTTGCTCTCTGCATGTTTATATAATAGAGAGATACCACAAATGTATATATATATATATATATATATATATATATATATATATATATATATATATATATATATCAACTTTAATGCAGCATTAAAGGTGAAAGGTTAAATTTAATTACCTTTTCGTTTAAGTAAAGGTTACCTTTTCACCTTTACTTTTTGTAAAGTTAATACAAAGATGACCTTGCTTTTTTTGAGCACCTTTAAAGAGATTTACTTTGCAAGTAAAGTTTTGTAAAGGTGTTTTTTCAAGCAGTGAGGCAAGTTCATTATCATCCCTGTAACACTTGGGAAGACCAAGTAAGATTCCAAGAAGATAACTCAGGTCTCGAAAGTTACAAAAGTGGGTAACATAGCTTCATCTATCAGTTAATTTTGTTTTTTACTTCTGTGGATCCTGAACGGTGTTGTATTGCACTCAGGTCCTTTGGCCCTTGTTAATACATGTTAAAATACCGAAAAATACATTACCTGTCTTTCTTCTCTCTTCCAAGCGATATAAATATATTCCAAGACACGCTGATTATTCTATTGACCCCCGGCGTTACCAATATATGATTGATTGATTGAATGTTTAACGTCTCATTCGAGAATTTTTCATTCATGTAGAGACGTCACCATATACCGGTGAAGGCCTCAAATTTTTACCTCAACTCGGCACTCAGGATCATTGAGCAGTGAGGGATCTTTATCGTGCCAACGCATGCCGTGACACGGGGCCTCGGTTTTTAAGGTCTCATCCGAAGGACCCGCAACTTTCACTCCAAAGTGCCGAGCGCATGGCGAAGAAACAGTTGTTACACATTTTTATCGTACTTAGGTCAGTCGCGGCCGAGATTCGAACTCACGACCTCCTGATCACGGAGCGAGCGCTCTACCGACTGAGCTTCCGCGAAGGGTGAATTGCCGATATAAAAGTTGATGTAGATTAACTTAAAGACTGCAAGGACTTTTCTGACTTTTGAGGTGTAATTTGAATGCACAGAATTACCCTTTATACACAAAAACGGTTTTTCCCCTCCTTCTTCCGTCGATTTTAAAATAACGAAATTACACAATAAAATATTTAACAAGCTCAGGAAAACTAAATATCTAGACTTTTATTAATAAAGTAAGTAAAAGTAATAAAGGCACATAAATAATACATGTAACAATGTTAAGAAAATTAGAAGAAAAAAAATACTTCATACATTATTGTTTAATATTGTATATACATTTTGTTGCCAAATTTTCCTTACATAATGCAGTGTTTAGTTCATGTATTCAAGTACCATAAAAGCAAGTTCAAAGCTTTGCCACTCTGTTTTCTAATGTCAAAATATTTATTCAAAGAACATACTCGTTTTGATGCAGTTTCAATATGTTATCATTACTAAACATTTAGTAAAAGCGTTTGTACTACAATATAACAAAATATAAGATTTTCTACATGTACTTCATACTTAAGATTGAATGATTGTGAGCTTTTTTAACACAAAGTGGAATGAAAGTTGCATTCAATGTAACGTCAGTTGAAGTGTATGAAACATTAAATAATTAATATAGCTGTGCATGTACCTTTCCTGCATATATTTTTTCGATAAAAATACGATTTAAAATTATCTGCATTGCCAACGAGTACGTCTTGTTTTTATTACGACAACTGACCCGTTTCCGATCTTCATAGTAACTACAACGCGCGATTTCCCGAACTGACAGACGAGAGAAAATGGGACATGCAAAGGGCGGCTTTGCCACCCGCAAACGGAATTTTTTGTACAAAAACCAGTCAGAAGACCAGAGGCACAGGTGGATGCGGTGTCATAGTGACCATATGTGTTCAAAAACCGGTAAGAAAAGCGGCAAATCCTAATGTAGGCCTAGTCCATCAAACGACGGTTACGAAGGCTAAAAATTACATATCCCTAATCGATCTCAGACTGTGTAAATGTTACTAGCCATAATAAAAATGTTGTTGGAATTCATATATTAACAAGGAATCAGCCGTATCAAGAAATTTTGAGCGATTAAGTGATTCATGTTGCTTTTGATGATAACATTTTTTCTTCAAGAAGTCCTTTCTTTTGATTAGAGTTATTCCCCGTTGTGAAATAGAAAGTACGTAGCCCCGGCATTTATGTAAACAAAATGCTCGGAGATTGCAAGTAAACTAATCTGTAAAGTTCGGAGATATTTTATTGAATTAATCAATATTTGTGCAAGTTGATAAACTTTTAAATGCCAAGTGATATCATAAGGATTCTTCGTTGAGCCATCTGCCCCCCCCCCCCCCCCCCACATGTGGGTAGCACTAGCGTTCAACTCATACACTTGTAAGTTCAGACCCAGGTATGAATAGGAGAGATTTTCTGTTGGAAAATATGTCTTTAAAATTGAATGAATTTGATTCATAATACTAATTATTAATTCAAATTGTGTAGGAACTTCGAACAAAAACATGTCAATACTGCATGGGTCACCACCATGGGCATTTAGTGCAGTGTAAAATTGGTAAACAAGTCAAATGTTAAACTTTAATTGACCATCAAAGTTAAACTTGCATTGCAAAAGGATTTTAATGCTGTAATTTTATTACAGATTAATTCCTTTATCTTTATTTATATACACTGTGAGGATTGATAAGGGATACAAATGTACATATGAAAGAAGTAATGTTAGGGTTGTTGTGTGGAAAAAAAATGTTGATCTGCATAAAGTTAACATATTTTTTTTTTTTACGTTAAGGGGTCTTATTTCAAGATCACTTGACAACACAATTTCTTGTGATTTATTAATAACTTCCATAGAAAGTTTGATTGGAAAGTCAAATAAATTCAAAGTAAATTCATAGTGAAAGTCAGGATCACATTCGAGGTCATATCGGTATACTTTGGGTCAAACGGCAGGAAACTTAATGTTAAAATATTTATATATTAAATTCATTACAGAAAATTTTACATACAAGTATGAAAAAAGATAACCAGTTCTGTATCAGTATCGGTTAAGTATCAAATCTTGAGCTAATGGAATGCATGCAGTTTTTGTTTTATACACAAATTACATTTGAAAATATATCTCAAATCTTAAAAAGTACTTCAAGTTTATTTTTAAATAAATATCCAATAGATGAAGGGTGTGGCACTCCCAATTTTCAAGTTGTGGATCATGAAAAGATTGTACCAGCTCATGCAAAAGCATTGGATGGACAGAGGGTTGGAGAATTGTGGAGCTTGGTGTCTTACAAGCCTGCCAGAAGTGTGGTCTCCCTCTTCAGTAGGCGCTTTCAACCACAATTCAAACATACGATCTCTCTGCCATTTTAAAGGTATTTTTATTTTTTTATATTTATCCATATAAGCCGGTACACATACATGTAGTAAGGCTTGCCTTACATTACAAGTTAAAACAAATTGGCTGTTTAGTTTGCCTTACAAGTCTGTATATAGTCTTACAAAGATTGCTCTAGCATAATTTGGCCATTTATTGTAATTAATGCGAATTGAATGTACATTTTATTAGCTCACCTGAGCCAAAGGCTCAAGTGAGCTTTTCTGATCAAAATTTGTCCGTTGTCTGTCGTTGTCGTTAGCTTTTCACAATTTCATCTTCTTCTCCAGAACCACGGGGCCAATTTCAACCAAACTTGGCACAGAGTATTCTTGGGTGGAGGGAATTCAAATTTGTTCAAATAAAGGGCCATGCCCTCTTCCAAGGGGAGATAATTACAAAATAGTGAAAAATTAATGGCATCTTTTAAAAATCTTCTTCTCAAGAAGCAATGGGCCAGGAAAGATGAAACTCATGTGGAATCATCGTCAGGTAGTGTAGATTAAAGTTTGTTCAAATCATGACCCCTGGGAGTAGGGTGAGGCCACAATGGACGATCATATTTTTACATAGGTGTATATAGGAAAAATCTTTAAAAATGTTTTTCTCAAGAACAACAAAGCCATGATTGGTCATATTTATCTGAAAGCATCCTCATGTGGTGTAGATTCAAATTTGTTCAAATGATGACCCCCGGGGGTAGGGTGGGGCTACAATGGACGATCATAGTTTAACAAAAGAGTATATAGGAAAAATCTTCAAAAATCTTCTTCTCAAGATCAGCAAAGCCAAGATTGGTCATATTTATATGGATGCATCCTCAGGTGGTGTAGATTCAAATTTGTTCAATTCATGACCCCCAGGGGTTGGGTGGGACTACAATGGACGATCATAGTTTTCATAGGAGTATATAGGAAAAATCTTCAAAAATCTTCTTCTCAAGAACAGCAAAGCCATGATTGGTCATATTTATATGGAAGCATCCACGGGTGGTGTACATTCAAATTTGTTCAAATCATGAGCCCCAGGGGTTGGGTGGGGGCTACGATGGACAATCATAGTTTTCATAGGAGTATATATACAGTACCGACCAGACACAACCTAACAGAAAGCGAACCCAGAGCGCACCCTGGGTTCGCTCTCTGGGTTCGCTTGAGGTCCGCTAGTGCTGACCCCGAGCGAACCCAGAGCGAACGCTGAAAGCGAACTCCAAATTCAGTAGCGGTCCCAGAAAGCGAACGCGCGTTCGGTGTTGCGTAACAGAGCTGTCAATCAGGATTAGCAATTAACTTATCAGCGCGTCGACCAATCAACAAGCCGAATAGATCTGTCAATCAGAATAAGTGATAAAATGCGTTGACCATCAGCGCATCGACCAGTCAACATGCCAGTTTGTAATGAAAACATCGTACAAGCCACATATTTATTTTCTTTATATTTTTAAAGTCCATTAATATATAAATATACATTGCGTAAATTTGTCAGACAAGTACTTTAATTCATAATAGAAAAAAGAAGATAATAATGGTTATAACAATTGTTACTAAAAAAAAACAGAAAAAAAAACCGGTCTTCGATAAATTATAGAATTTTATTATCTCAAGATACAGTATAAAAACATGTACGTGCTTTAATTTAATTATTTTTTATTCATTATTTCAATTTACATGCACGTTTTAATTTATCCAGATCAACATCGAAATTATCGATCTTAATAATTGATCATTAAAAAAAAAAAATTAAATGTACATTGTACAGTATAAATGGGCATTATGTCAATACGTAAATTGGAGGGAAAAAAATCTCATTTTTTTTAACTACTATGATATTTTTTAATTAACTTTTACCATAATTTAATAAATAGCTTGATTTAAATACTTGTATATAGGAAAAGATTATTTTGTCAACTTTAATTATCCTACATGTAGACCTTACATTGTATGTTTTTTGAATTTTTGTAACTATTTGCAAGTCAGTCAAAAAAAAAAAAAATAATAATAAAAAAAAATCGCTTCGATGTATATAATTATACAGGTTTACATGTTCACGAACCTCTTACAGGTACTACATGTAATTTTCGAAATACTCTATATGGATATAAAAAAAATACTACTCGGGTACGTTTCGTACTTGTGCATGAAGCATGAAAAGTACACGTAATTCCAACATTAGTAAATTGAACTTGCAAAGATACCTTAATACGAAAACGCACATATATTTTTTCATTACATAGGTACTGTATTTGAACTTTGTAATTGTCATTATTATTTAATTTTAACACTTTAATTATTATAGTTTTAAAGAGAAGCCAAGGTCATCACGTGTCGGTAATCATCCACCTGTTTCGAAGATATTGCGGGTGCTAAGGGCAATTGCGGTGTTTTTTTTTAATTGACACCTGCTAGCTGGATGAATACTGTCTCCATGGCCACGGTATACCTGAGTATATACTCCCCCTACTGCCCCTTAAGTTACCTGTACCTCGTCTGGACACGTTATCAATGAGAAATTCAATTATTATTCTTATTTTCTTTTTTTGAATTTGGAAACGTCATAGTTCTTTGGTACGTTGCATAAAAAGTAGATGTTCATGTAATTTTCTGCCGCCTGAATGCTGAAAATCAGTAAAATAACTTTACGAGAGAGAGAGAGAACACTGTATATTATTTGAAATTAAAATCGCTACAACCGGCCCATAGAAAACAATTCGAGTACGGAGAAGGGGGGGGGGGGGGCTCATCGAAATAATACAATTAAAAACAAATCGGGCGTTATTATCTTAATTTCATCTACTTAATCATGTGAGTTTACAGTTCTTGAATTCTTGTTTTGTTTGTTTTCTTTCTTGTTTTTATTCATTTTTAAACATTTAGAATTTTGTTTGTTAACATGCCGCTCCAGCATGTACATTTATGTAGTGGGGCGGGGGGGGGGGGGTTCATGAACCAGTAAGGAACACAAACTATTCAAGTGATCATTTACATGTATTTGAAAACAACTTAAAAAAATAATATATTCTTATCAGAGGATCAGTAAGCAGTTTTTGTTTGTTTGTTTGTTTTGGCTTTTTGATTGTTTTTTTTAAGTCTTCCGTTATAAAACAATGATTTATAGCATGGAAGTAAATTATAAATGATCTGTGAAACGAAACTCTAGTTACACTGTATGAGAATTTTTAGTGATTATCACGACCTACATGTACATGTAATGGACGACAACCTAGCTTAAATATAAACTGCTAAATATGAAAACTTAACATTTTACGTGTACAGTATGTCTCAGCTATGTCATAGATAAGATCGTAATTCAGTTGTTTGTCTTTCAAACATTTAAATTACGATTTAGCAATTGCAATTACATCTGGAAGTTCCAACTTATTTTAAAACGCATGAATAATATAAACAAGTGAATTTGAAAGCTTTTTTTTAATTAAGATACTCATCAATTTCACTCCATCCGATACATCGAAAATAAATTTAACACCTTTTCTTCTTTTTCTTTCGAGATATACTTAGCTTGTAAGTTAAGAAAAATAAAAGTGATAATTCTACGTCGAATGTACGGTAAAATCCTTGAAAATTTATCAACGTTCTCCATATTGTCACTTACATGTACATGTTTGATCGCCATAAAAACAGTAATGATCGATTTCACTACTGTATTTGGAATATACAAGGGGCGGGGCTTACTGGTGGCAAGATTAAAGCGGGGTCCGCTTCACGCATGAGTGCGTAAAGCGAACCCGGAAAGCGAACGCCGGGTTCGCTCAAGCGAACGCAGAGCGAACCCGAAGCGCACCCAGAGCGGTCCCAAATTTTATGAAAGCGGACCCGCAGCGAACCCAGGAAGCGAACCCGGAGTGCGCTTTGGGTTCGCTCTGGTGTTAGGTTGTGTCCGGTAGGTACTGTAGGAAAAATCTTCAAAAATCTTCTTCTCAAGAACAGCAAAGCCATGATTGGTCATATTTATATGGAAGCATCCACGGGTGGTGTAAATTCAAATTTGTTCAATTCATGACCCCCAGGGGTTTGGTGGGGGCTACAATGGACGATCCAAGTTTTGTATAGGAGTATATAGGAGAAATCTTTAAAAATCTTCTTCTCAAGAACAGCAAAGCCGTGATTGGTCATATTTATATGGAAGCATCCTCAGATAGTGTAGATTTATTCAAATCATGACCCCCGGGGGTAGGGTGGGACAACAATGAAAGTTTAAACTTCTAGGAAAAGAAGCCACAGTTAGTCAAAGAAATTTGTAAGCATCCTTAGTTAGTGTAGATTCAATTTTGTTCAAATCATACCCTCAACCCAACCCCCCCCCCCTTTTTAAGGGTAGGTCGGGACCATTTATGCATGTAAGCTTTTCAATACTGAACTGAGTTTTGCTTTTTTCCTAGCCACAATGCTCAGGTGAGCGATGTGGCCCATGGGCCTCTTGTTTAATGATGTACTAAGTGAAACACCGAACGACAGCATAACTAGCAGTGATCAAAGAATGTTTATCATGAAACCAATATCCCACAGAATATGGATATCTCCTAATTTCATCTTCGCTAGCCAAGGGTTTCCGATCTGAAATCTACTCTACAACCCTTCGCTAGCCAAGGGTTTCCGATCCGAAATCTACTCTACAACCCTTGGGTTGTAGAGAAGATTTCAGATCGGGAACCCTTGGCTAGCGAAGATGCCTAATTTTAGTTCAACGCTATTTCTAGTTATTTGAATACATATAAATAAAAACTAGAGCAAAGACAAATAAATGTGGGCATAGATAAGAATCTATAATTTTTAGGTCACCTGTGTTACTCAGGTAACCTATTTCTGTAGGTGTGTGCGTCATCCATTCATAACTTCTCCAAACTATGTGGCCAATTTCAACCAGACTTGCCACAAAGCATCCTTATAAGGTTGAAGGGATTCAATCTTGTCTAAATTAAGGGGTAGCTTCACTTTTAAAGAGATATTATCAAGAATTTTTTTAATACAGAAAAATCTAACTACTTTTTTAGAGGAAATAAAACTCAATTAACAGTGAATTATTTGTTCAATTATATTGATTACAATAAAAAAATTGGACATGTTTGGAATAGTTTTGAAATGGATGTAGGTGATTTGAAAGCTATAGTAATTTTCTTGCCCTTTGGGCAAGTGGTAGGCAGGTGACCGAGGAGGCCGGTGGGCCTCTTGTTATTATTATGGTTTTAGTATAAAATATTGATATGAGAAATAAAATGACACACACACACACATATACTAGTGTATATATATATATATATATATATATATATAGTCCCGGAGACTGCTTTCTGGGACTGCTAAAGCAGTCCCAGTGCGGTCCCAGAGCAGTCCCACAGCGGTCCCAGCAGTCCCAGAAAGCAACCCCAGCAGTCCCAAAAAGCAGTCCCAGTAGCCGGGGTTAATAATTTGATGGGCGGAGCTCAGTCAAAACTGAGATTACACAGTGTATCAACAAACAATGTCAGTAATATAAAGGCAGTTGAAATTTAATGATGCACTTCTTTTTTAGGCGAAAAAAGTGTTAGTCATGTTACATGTACAGTATATTTACAATTCTTATGTGACAATTATTTCTGAATAATTAACAAAACTGCAGTATATATAAGAAATAAATAATTATATCAAAAAAAAAAAGACTTTCACACTCAAACTGTAATTACATCTGTAGTATATTAATTTGAAACCAAATTAAACCATTGCATTTTTATTAAATCTTATTTATTGACAATGGTTACTGCACATATTTTTTTCTAGAAAATTAATCATGTGCTTAATAAAATGAATGACTTATTTTTAGACTAGAATTCAATGACTTTGAAATACATGTAGATCCTACAATTATAGAGCAAGGCTGATTCCCATATTACTCCGTATTATGTTTTTCATTGACGTTGAAGCTTCAGAAAATATACATGTGTAACATGAATCTGATGACAGTTAATTCTTTATCAAATTTTGCTTACTAATATATTCTGGTTATCATTTTCATTGACTTGTCGATATAATTATTGTAAGAATCTTTACGCAACTTAAAACAATTTCACCAAAATATTTCCTCAGCCCTTGAATCAGTGTGCATGTACATGTAAATCAGGCAAGTGACAATATCTCAGATATTTAACAGTTTAAGAAATTAAATAATCCTGAAATATTTAAACCACGTTTATTAAAACAAGAGTTTTGCAGTTTGAAGAACGAAATAAATGTCATTGTTGACCAGTATGGTCAGTGATGTGTAACACTGATACCCAAATAACACGCGTGAAATGTCTGCTATTCATGCCCAAAGGCGATTGAAAACTTAGCCAGTGTTTACACATTTTATACACCGTGTACGGCTTTTAATCGGCCAGACTATGCAGTTGTTACGTGTATCTTGTTTTTCATCAAACGTACACAAAAAGAAGTAAGACATAAAACACACATTTCGATATTTTCAACCATATTTATTTTAAAAAATAATTTTATATATTTATTAAAACTTTTTTATAAGTTAAAAATAAATCCGGAATCCGGGACAAAAATCGACGAATAATTGCTCAGGATGTTTATATGACGGGAGATTATTTCATACAAAAAGAAAAATATTCCTTATTTGAATTAATTATTAGATTTTATTTTTAAGCGGTAAAAAAAAAAGGAATTGATTTTTTTCCCGTGATATCTGCCTTTACAGTCTAAAAATAATTACTTTCCAGTGCAGCATTTATATAGCTTTGAAATTTTTTTAAAACTTTAATGCCGTGATTGTGTCCTCCTTTAGGACAAAGAATAATGTAAAATTTAAGTACAAAATTTAACAGCTTTTATTAATTATATAAATCATTTAGTTTCAAACACCTGCATTTATATTAAATACACAGATTAAAAAACTTCTGCTTTTTAAACTGGCAAACCAACTTTTTATTATAACCAACATTTAATTAATTTTTCTAATTGATTTTACACTGCCAAGGTGCGAAATCGGCGGTTGACGTACATGTATACATATGTATCTTTCAGTAGCTAACAGTATTTGTTAATTTTTTGGAAAATTCTTGTTGATTAATTTTCTTTTACAACTTCTCTGCTGAATGTAAACAAAACTACTGTACAAAATGAAACCTGTATATTCAGAATACACAAGGGGCGGGGCTTTCTTGTCACTCAGAATCATTTTCACGCATGGGTGAACAAAGCAGTCCCAGAAAGCAGTCCCAGGGACTGCTGGGTCTGCTTTCTAGAGCAGTCCCACAGCGGTCCCAGAGCAGTCCCAAAGCAGTCCTGGGGACTGCTTTCTGGGACTGCTTGGGTGTCAGGTTGGGTCTGGTTGGTACTGTATATCTAAAGTCTCTTTGATTACTTTTGCAACTCTCGCAATCTTTTCAGATGTTTTTCGCTCAATTTTGATTCATGACGTTGTCTTTCTATTGTATGTACATTGTGACGTCATAATACGTTGTTCAACGTTAGTTGCTATGCATTTAAATAAACACAACTGATGAAGGCCGGTAACACGGTTGAAATATTTCAAAAAGTGTTTTAAAGTGTTTATATATATATATATATATAGATAGATAGATAGATAGATAGATAGATAGATAGATATTATTTCCATTCATTGAGCACTCGTGGTGTAATATTGAATGCAATTTTGTGCATTTGCAGATACCTTGCAGTAATACATCCTGCAAGCTGGTAAACAATATACCAACTGGGAAGAGGTATGACAGAATTTGGGCTGCAAATGTAAAGCTTGCTGCTGGTGTGTATTAATTAATTCAGTGACATCTCAATTAGAGTGAAATATTCTTTGAAATCTTCTTTTAGCCAGCATATACTGTGACACATGACCTATTTTTATAATGTAGATGTTCGAGGATAATGGTCTCATCCGAACAACCCCACAACTTTCACTTCAAATGCTGAGTGTTTGCAGAAGGAACAGTTGCTACCTAATACATGCCTTATGTACGTCACGTTCCAGGGATCGAGTCCAGGCCTTTCACTTACCGAGCTGACATTCTACCAACTGAGCTACGGAATCATATGTGAAATTGCTGATATTAGTTATTTTTAATGTTTCCACTACTCTGTTGTCAAACTTGGTTTTGACTCACACTTGTAATATTTTGCTGTGAAATATGCTCGAAAAAAGTTAATGCTGCCTAAGCTCATCAAACAATATGAAGTAATTGTTATATTGCTTGAAATGAAAGCTTAGGTATAATATATATTTCATACAATTTGTTCAATGTTCATTTTCAATATATATATATGTATAATCTGGAAATGTAAATGAAATCAGTTTATTGTAAATCGTAAACATGAAAATTTTGCAGAGAAAAGCTGTTCAGAGGAAATTCGGGGTGAATATTTTCAAAATGGCTCCCCTCTTTTTTTCTGAAATTTGGACACATTGATTGATTGTTGTTATATTTCATACAAATATGCTTTTTTTTATTTCCATTATTCTGTATGTTGTAAAATATGTGATGACGATTCACATTTTCCATATTTCATTGTGAGTCAATGGACGATATAAAGGTGGCGTTGTGAGGACATTATGAAACATTAACTTTTTTTAAATGTTACAAATGAAAGTTGTTCAGGTAATATATAGTTCATGAAATACTGTACCAAGTTCATTTTCCATTTAATTTGTTCTTATTGAATTGTAATTGAAGACAATTTTAGAGCAGTCGTAAACATGAAAATTTTGCAGAGAAAAGCTGATCAGAGGAAATTCGGGCTGAATATTTTCAAAATGGCTCCACTCTTTTTTCTGAAATTTGGACACATTGATTGATTGTTATTATATTTTATGAAAATAAGTTGCTTTTTCTATTTCCATTACTCTGTCTGTGCTTTACAATTTGTTTAAGATCAACGATTTATGTATTTCGCTGTTCAAAATTAGACATCATAGGTGGCGCTGCGAGTAAAGTGTAGAAATTGTTATAATTTTTTTTTTTTATTATTTTAAATGTTAGAACAGATGTTACATGTTTACTAATAAATATTTTAAAATTTTACGTCATCTTTGACTTATTTATTTAAATTGATATACGGACTATATTTTTAAGGAAAAAAATTACACAGAGTTCCTTCCCTTAGTTTGCAACCCCTAGATGGCAAACGGCTACACTCTTTTTCTTTATTTTATAATTAAGCATCCTTTATACATATGTGTATCCATTGATACCAAAATCATTTGTTTTCCATTACTTTCATCTCACACTCATACTACCTTAATAAACTAAATAATGTAAAACAAATTAAAAAGGATGCATAACATTCTAATTTACATTGAGAGAAAAATATTTTCATTAAAGGATGCCCCGCCAATCACTACGGAAGTCCCTGTAAACCGTGCTGGCAGAACTGTGACCAATGTAACGCTGTAGACGGGTCCTGTGTTTGTAAGATTGGTTACACTGGAGAAAACTGTACAGAAGGTAGAGTACATAAAACAATAATGTTTATACAGTTAAAGTAATTAAAGCGGGCTCTTTTCTTAATCTTTTAACTATATACATTGTAGAGTGTTCAAATAACACATACGGTGCCAACTGTGTTTACCGATGCGGACAATGTTTCAATGAAACTTGTGATCACGTGACTGGAAATTGCTTATTTGGCTGTGCGAAAGGATGGACAACAACTCAATGTAATCAACGTAAGGATTTTCTCCTGTTCTACATTATACTGTATAAATAAAACTCTGTATTTGTATTGAAAAAAAAAAAAAAAAAAAAAAAAAAAAAAAAAAAAAACCAAGGCTAAACCACTTTTTTAAGTTTCAATCTAAGAGTTGTTTACTTGTCTTAAAAATTCGCAGCTCACTACCGGCAAGTGGTGGCGTCTCCATATGAGTGAAAGATTCTTGAGAGGGACGTTAAACAACATACAAACAAACAAACAAACTTGTCTCGGAAGACATGCAATACATCTATAAAGCATTACTTTGAACCTCAGTTTGTTACTTGTCCATATTAACTGACTTAAAAGAAAGGACCACATCTAGCTTTAAGATCATAAAATGAGAATACTCAGGTCAAATTTTAGATTTTGAATATTGATTTTAATTCTACGAACATTTTTAAAAAGTTGCAATTTCGTAAAATATTCAAATACAAACACTCAATGAAAATTTGATCATTTCAAAAGTTGTACAGAATTTACTAGAGTCTGTGTTAAATTTATGATTTTGGGGCCTATAAACCACGATTCATTCAGAAATATGGTTAATGAATTGTAAAATAAAAATTTTGATACAGCATGCAGCACCGGCTGGTACGGGAATAACTGCTCTCTAAAATGTAGTAATTACTGCATCACACCGAACTCATTCGACCGAGTTTCTGGATCTTGCTATGGAGGATGCGCTGCTGGGTTGATTAACGACACATGTGACGCAAGTGGGTTACAGTTTTTTCTTGTCGTTTTGTCTTTTTTAATTTATCTTGATATACTGTACTATATTCATGAGGGTTTTTCCATTTCTTTTTAGTGGACATGGATTACTGTAAGTTTCATATTTCTGTAACATTCATAGTATGTAAATGCATTTCTTAACATGTTATTTTTACTGGGCCATTTTCTTTTGTGGATTGCTTGGGTTGTTTTTCTAGGTGTAGATTGGGCACCTTCAGCTGTATCCGTTATCTATAACAAGATGACCTGGAGAAGAGAAGAAATAAATAATATGGTCAGACATGACCCTGCTGTAAACCTATTGTGTACCTTCAGCATAAAAACTGATGAAAACTTGTTTTATGATGTATCTTGGTTCATAAATGGAACAAACGTACTTAATCAGACCGTTGATGTGTCTAGTAATTACACAGCAGTGCTATCGGCTTATGATATTCTGGAATTTAACAAGAAAATTGGATTAGATGTAAGTAATAATTATTGTTCATATATTACGTCGATAAAATGTCAAATGATTGATTGATTGTATGTTGTTTTACGTCCCATTCGAGAAATTGTCACTCATATAGAGACGTCACCTTATACCTGTGAAGGGCTTCAAATTTTGACCTTTACTCCGCACTCAGGGCCATTGAGCAGTGAGGGATCTTTATGTGCCAACGCCTGCCGTGACAAGGGCGTCGGTTTTTAAGGTCTCATCCGAAGGACCCGCAACTTTCACTTCAAAGTGCCGAACGCATGGCGAAGGAACAGTTGCTACCTATTTTTTATCGACTTAGGTCTGTCGAGGCTGAGATTCGAACTCACGATCTCCCGATCACGGAGCGAGCGCTCTACCGACTGAGCTACCGTGAACGGTGTCAAATGTTTATTGAAAATGTTTTTTACCCATATTCATTTAAAAGTTTGTTTCCATGTCCAATTAATTCAGATACATGTAGTTATATGAAAACATGTACGTTAATGATTAAAAAAATAGTTTTACTATTGTTCATATAGTTATATGTAATGTAACTTTTTTTCCATCTTTATAAGGTACACTGTAAAGTTGGAGCAAAACGAAAGAAGGAAAACCTCCCTTGTCGCACCAAAGTTGGAAATCCATTCTTCGCCGGAATACGTGTATGGATTTAATTGTAAAAGTTTTGGCATCATTTAAATAGGATTATTCCTTTTTAGCTCATCTGTAAGCTTAAGAGAAATTTTCTGATCACCCGTCGTCCGTACGTATTTCAAACTGTCCATTTGTAAACTTTTCACATTTTCAACTTCTTCCTAAGAACCAATGGGTAAATTTAATCAAGGTTGATTTTGACAAAGTATCCTTGGGTGAAGGGGACTTAAAATTATTAAAATCAAGGACCAAGCCTCCTTCTAAGGGCGCATAATCAAGAAAAGACAAAATAAGGGAGGGGTCATTTGATTTAAAAACTTTTCTCAGGAACCACTGGGCCAGAAAAGGAACTAAGGTTGAAGCTTCACGGGGTAGTATAAATACTAAATTCCAAATCCTGGCTTCCGGGGGTAGGGTGGGGTCACAATTGGAAACAAAATTCTACATCTAAATGTATAGGAGAAGTCTTCTTCTCAAGAATCACAAGACCAAATAAGGTGAATCTTATGTGAACGCCTTCGAGGTAGTGAACCTTCTAAATTATTCAAATCATGGCTTCCGGGTGTTTGGTGGAGCCTCAATAAGGTATAAAAGGAAATACAAGGGGGATATGATGAAGAACATAAGGGACAGCGTGACTCAGGTGAGCGTTGTGGCATATGGGCCTCTTTTTATGCTTTGTGTTTATATATTCTTTCATAAAATATCTTTTTGCAGGTAATAAATCCTAACATAGAATTGGAAAGAAAAGGGTCAGAAAACATTGCACTTGAAATGACAATACCGTTTGCTTCTGAATCGCTTTTTATAAATGGTGTTCTACAACCCGTTAGTGACCTTAACATCCACTTGGCTTTCGAAACAGGTGGCGCCTCTACAACCGGCGGTGGCGGTTCTTCTAACCACTGCGAAGTCAAAGTTAAAAGCTTTGGTTATCATGAGAAGCACAAATATGAAAACGGCGAATGGAGGCAAAAAATCTTTTTTCCTGTTTATAGCAAAGACACAGATGGTTACGTCATTAGTACTCACATGACCCTGCATTTGAAGACTGGCGGTACGAATGGGATTGGCAGTAAAATATTTGAACATGTTTCTTTGCAAGATATTTTGGTAAGTCCATTGACTTCATGAAAAAATGTTCAGCAGCCTCATTACATGAAGATCTTTCGGATTCTTGAAATAAAAATAAAAATTCAATTTAATTCGTAAGTTTTTAAAAGTTTTTAGAAAAATGATGAAAAGTTCGTGCAAGTTATACAATGTGTTTCAACATAGGTAATCAGAGATTACAGAGCTCACTTCAGTGAATGTTTCCTCTAATTCAGGCAAAATCCCACAATACACTAATAAACTAGTATCGTGCATCCCTATATAAATCATCCATGCAAGTTAGGTTCAGGAATGTTTTAAAGTTACTTGAAAATAGACCTCTAAAAATTTTATTCTCTTCATTCATCAAAAAAATGTAGGTCAGATCCAGCATCTGAAACAGGATTTGTAGTGTTCATCTCATGATACGTCATATTTGCAAGTTTCTTCCAGGTAGGTCTAATAATTGCTTAAGCTAGGCCTACTCCAAAAAACGTTAACCTAGTCACTTTTTCTGGAAAATGTAGGTCAAATCAATCATTAGAAGCAAGTCTGGAAGTGTGTATCAATAAATACATCTTCAGTGCAAAGGTGGTTAGAATAAGACTTTTAGTCACGAACGAAAATAACTGCTCCAAAAAACTTTAACCTGGTCACTCATTTGGTAATGTAGGTCAAATTTAGCTTCCGAAGAGAGTCCAGTAGTGCGCATTTTTGTAATGGGTCCAGATAGTACAAACAGTTATTTTAGATTGAACCTGCTCCAAAAAAATTTTAGCCTAATCACTCATCTGAAAAAAGTAGTTCAGATCAGCATCTGAATCAAGCCTGACAGCATGTATCCTTAGAAGAAATCATCCATGCAAGTTCAGTCCACATAGGACATATACCTTCTTTGAAATGTGACCTGCTTCAAAAACTTTAAACTGGTCGCTCATCCGGAAAATGTAGATCATATCCAGCATCCGAAACAAGTTTCATAGTGTGCATCCTAAGATGTATCATCCATGTTTGGTCAACATAGGGCTTATCATCACTTTAGAATGAAACTGCTTTATTTAACCTTGTTACTCAGACGGAAAGAGTAGGTCAGGTCCAGTATCCGAAGCGAGCTTGGTAGTGTACATACTTTGATGTATCATTTATGCAAGTTAGTCAGCATATAGCCTATAGGCATTTGGAAATGAGACCTGGTCTAAAAACGTTCACCTGCTCATAAAAAGTAAACCTCCTCCAAAAACATAAATCTGATCATTCTTTAGCTGGAATTGCAGCATCCGAAACCTTGACTGGTATAATGATATATACAAGAAGCATCTTTCATGTATATCTGATTAATGTAGTGCATAGAAATACTTCAAAGAAATCTGCTCCAAAAAATTTTAACGTAGGACGCCGACGCCGAGGGTAGTCCCCCCCCCCCCCTTTTCACTTCACTGAGGTGAGCTAAAACACTCCTAAACGCAAAAACGTGAAAGAGATTGAAAGTCTCTCGTCTTGAAAACATACCTTCACATTTTTTTTAAAATCAAATATCAGTACTATAACAGAATTTCTTTTTCATGGTTCGATTCAACAAAGATATTTTCCCTAATGGTCGTCGCAAGAGTCAATCAACGGAAAACGGATTCAATTTCATCTATATTAAAGCTCATCTGTCAAAGAACGAACTTGTCATGATTTCTGATTCTTCTGAATCGGGTGTCTTTAATTTCTTGCGTTGATTAAAAACAAACCGTGTATATGTATAATGAAACTTATCAACTCTTTTTACAATAGTGTAATATAGTGCGTTTCAATGGATAAAGTAAAATGCCACTTAACGTCAATGTAAAATTCATTGTTTGTGAAACATAAACATAATAAATATATGTGTATTTCAAGTTTTCAATTTAACACTTATTGCGTAGATCATTAGAGTTGATGGATTCAGTAACAACTTGTTCTTTCTTCTATCTCATATCTTTAAATACATCTATATTTTAAAAACAATAAATTAAAGTTTTCTTACACATTTAGTCCGACTTTAAGTGAATCTGTATGCACACTATGATAAGATTGCATAATTCTATATATACACTTCTTATTTCAATTAAAAGTGTATTATGTGTGTGTATTTGGCTATTTTCCCCCATCAACATATTTGGCAGCATTGCACAAGTGAAAAAAAATCATTATACCTTAGTATTATACTTTACTGTGCTTTGATGATGATGGAAGCTGGCTATATTTTCCATAGATACGTGTATGGGATACTAACCAGCAATGGAAAGGACGATCATGTGGCGTACATGCAGACCCACACATGTATACATTTGATGGAGTGTAAGAATTAATGTTTGTCATTAGTCAGACAGCTTTAAAGAGTGAAATCAATATAAACTGCATCATAAAAGTTCATCTCTCTTTTTTTGGAGAACAGTACATGATCAATATCAGTAAAACACATCAGCATTTAAAATCACTTGCATATGCATAAGGCCTTTTCAGTTCTGCAAATTTCAAATAAAATGATTGCAATTTATTAAAAATACTCATTCACCGCAAATGTTGGGATTATTTTATATAAATGATATTTCTTTTTTATTTTTTATTGAACAATTCTTTTTTTAAACAGCCCATACGAATGTCAGACGTCAGGAGAGCTTATAAACTATAGGAATCAAGCTTATTTACAATGGGTAATCAGAAAAAAGTAGAAGGTTCAAGTGCTGTGTAACTTTAAGTAATCATTGAAATTAGACAAATATACGTAATTGTATATTAAATAATTCTATTGAATGACCTGAAACATAAAATAAAGACAGTAAAGTGTCACATACTTTTTGTAGCAAAAAATTTAAAACTTTTAATTCATGACATCTACTTAAAGATTCAGTCAAAACATCACCTTTGTTTCCCTTCATACAACGGTCCTTGGTGCGTCTGCGCAGTTGCAGCAAGAGCAGGAAGAGATGTTTTTCTAATGGATCTCTGTGGAGATAATGGCGTCATCAATTTTGAACTGTGTGAGGACAATAGTTTAAAAGTGACAAAAATTCATGACAAACACTATAAGGTATATTTTATTAATGGAAATAATTAAAATTAATAGAATTTCAATAATTTTAATATATTAATTTTTAAACTGAATTCCGAACCTTAAAGTCCCCGTTGCTGAATTATTTTTTTTTCAATTTACAATTTAGTGCGCACTGTCTATACCACTTTTATCTTCTTAAGCTAAGAGGCATACTGGTCTTAAAGGTAATTTAGTATTGTGCGGTTCAGCACCTATGTGAGAATAACAATTTTCTTGGAAACTCTGTAAGCATTTTCACTTTGATGCAGATTATATGTATATCCATATCTGATGCATGTACTAACTTGGCACAACCATTAGGCTTGACGCTTTATGGTAGTAGACAATGATTTTATCAATATACCCCGCATTGGAAGTTGAGGTATACAGAATCAATTAAATCGTCTGCCTCTTAATTAAAATCATGTCCAGGTCATACAATATTTGAAGCGTTCTACTTTCCAATTTTCCCATACGCTCACCTTTTGCTTACTTTAACATTTATTTTGCAGACAACGTTCACTCATTGTTCAGTCTCTGTATCTTCATTGTCATTCCAAATTCCAAAATTAAAAGCATGATTTTATTATAATTGAAAAAGGAACGTGTTTGTACGAGTTAAAAGGATCTAGAATTTAAATTTTAATTATGGACTCATATTGAGTTCACAAATTTAATAAAAAATAATATCAACAATATTTATTAAATTACTTTTTAAAAAATATGTTGTTGCAATTATAGTTTATTAAAACTATTTTGAAAAATCACATCAAAATACAGAATATACCGGACACAGCATAATTGCCAAAATTATAACATAGTCATTTCATACTTTGCAAAGAACATTTAAAAAAATAAAATCTTAACGTTTTTCATAGGTCAATTATCAAAACGTATTATTACTTTCTTATAAGGATAATCCTCAAAAAACAATTAACACTAGACTAGTTGATATCATAAACAACTGTTTCTTCAATACAAATTGAACTCGGAAACTTTTCGTATCATGTGGTTGGTCATTTATAAGATAACTAATTCTACACGTACTCCAAGGTTCATATTTAAAGAATGCTCGAGATCCTCATAAATAAGTTATATAATAATTTTGGAGCAAGGGTCTTCCAACAATCTGTTGGATAACCGTCACGGTAGCGCAGTCGGTAGAGCGCTCGCTCCGTGATCGGAAGGTCGTGTGTTCGAATCACGACCGCGACTGACCAAAGTCGATAAAAAATTGGTGGCAACTGTTACTTTGCCAAGCAGTCGGCACTTTGAAGTGAAAGTTGCGGGTCTTTCGGATGAGACCTTAAAAACCGAGGCCCCGTGTCACGGTAAGTATTGGCACGATAAAGATCCCTCACTGCTCTATAGCCCTGAGTACCGAGTAAAGGTCTAAATTTAAAGCCATTCACCTGTATATGTTGACGTCTCTTTATGAATGAAAAAATTCTCGATAGCGACGTAAAACAACATTAATTCAATCAATCAATGGCGTTTATGTCCCCCGACTTACTGATACTAACGACCATGCTTAGAGAACGATAATTTTTGAAACCGAGGCAGGTCACTTACAAATAACTTGATGTTGCAAAGTTTTCAAAAACCTAGTTTAAAGTCAGCATTTCGTAAATTCTATGCTCGTTCTATTGACCATAGAAGACAATTTAGCTATCACTTCAACTCCCTGATTAATGCAGTTCGAGGTCGATGTGGCCAGTCGGCAGGAGTTGTGAACTCATCCTAGGCACTGCGTTCCATTTCTGGTATTTCCAGGAGTCCGCGTTTTTGTACTGTTAACTATATGTTTTGTTTCAGTGAACTATGAGATCGAATTTTGCTTAGAAAATTTAGAAACTTAGAAATAGTTCTTTTTCAACATATATTTTTTTCTTGTATAGTTAATCTTATGATTACCTTCGAGATGTCATTTCCAGGTGCATTTTCCAACCGGTACATCCCTCTCTATTTACATAATGGAATGGAATGGGTATTTTAACATAAATTTGGACATCGTTCCTTCCACGTTAGATGTAAGGAAGGCTGATGGTTTATGTGGATACTTTGACGGTGTAAAAGAAAATGACTTTAAAAGAAGGGACAGCAACATCAGAGATAGTATTAACTTGATGTTTCCAAACAATTTCTCTGACTCTTGGAGGTAAATATCAAAATATTTTAGAAACATAATTCAAGAACCATTATTATTAAAAAAGATGTACCATTTAAAACTTTTTGCAGCACTGTTTATGCTTAAAAAAAAGAAAGCGGAGCTTAATTTATCCGGACATTTTTTGCTGTAAGATCACTTCACCCTTCAAAATGAAAATGAATTAAATAAAATTTTAAGCAGTAAAGAAGTTTTTGATTACGACGCAAGATTAATACCACACAGCAAGGTATAAACAAGTAGAAAATCACAGTGCACTTGTTGACACGATGTCATCCAATTGGTTAAGTTGGACGCATTTAAATGAGGTTTACAGCGGATCAAGTACTTATTTCACATTGAAAATGAATATAATTTTGAAAGAGAATAAATTACAATGTTAACCTTCGTTAAATGCCATAATTATATTCAAATTGAGAGAGTGTATTACATTTATTCCATCGTAATTTGTTTACACATTTTGAACACCGATATACCTCGTTTATCCATCGTCTTGCAAGGTCAATCACTTTAAGTTACAAAATGAGTCAAAATCATGCGTTTCCTTGAAGATATATCATAACGCTAAAGATGTATGAAAAATATTATCATAGCGAAGATATAATAAATTAAACTGTAATGACTGAAAAATATAAGTGCCGGAACAACAAAGGTTACACTTGTGTTGTACCGATAATCAGAGAACATCGATTGTCAACGAAAAATATGCTACCGATTCCGATGATCGATTTTTATTTTTCATAATTTATCATCGGAAACGTACTTTGTATAAAATGCAATCTGGAATAATCCGTTCCCGGTTTAAAATTCATTTCATAGTAATGAAAGAATATTGCGCCTAATGTGTTACAAAGCGAAATAGCAAAAAGCAGAGGTGATTAGGAACCCAAACGTGCATATGTGGAAAGTTTGAAAGAAGCAAAACATCAAAGAAAACAATATATTATATATTTTATATATTCATGATAAAGAAATAATACATGTATGAAATACTTGTAATAGTCTTCTTTTTATATACAGAACTATGACATCCGATTATAATCGGTAAAATTGCATCGGAAGCAGTAACCGATTCCGACCGATGATCGATTTTGAAAATTAACCGATGTCCCAACACAAGGTTACACTTACCGTCTCTGTTATTCATATCTAGCGTATACTTGGCAACAACATTGAATTTGAACATACAAACGTGAGAAATACATGTTCTTATAATTTTTTTGATTGTATAAATATATACGATACAAGATTGTATAAGATATTATAGGTGTAAAAGATTGTATAAAATTTCTTGGTCTACAGACATTTATTTTTTTTTTTTTTTTTTTGGAACGTGAGATCATGGTCACTTCTTCAAACTGTCTCAGACCTTACTACCCTTCCGCTTTTGGCGTAATTCTTCTGCTTTTTACCAAAAATACGCTGTTACGTATGAAATATAATTTTACGCTTTTAATAGAGGATTTCGATTCTTCACGATATGCTTATTTACGATACAAAAAAAAATACTATTATACATTGTAGTTTTAAAGAAGCCTTTTTAAAACGGATGGCATGTCAAAGATTAGAAAACTATTGAATGAAATGTGCAATAAATAAAGTCGGTTTAATTTTCAATTCACTTTATTCTTACATTGCTTAGAACAACATAGAAAGAAGTAAATATATAGAAAACAAAAACTACATTGAGCAATAATGTAGAAGTTATATTAACATGGAAATGAAGCTCTGAATTATATGATTTGCTAGAATTTAACCAAACGTTCATTAAGCATGTAAGTTTAAATAAGTTTGATATGACTGCATTTAGGTTACCAGTTTTACAACACATAGACTTTTTGTCAATAAATAATGTGAAAGAGAAACATTCATGCTTGCTTTTTTGTACAATTACCGGTTTATCCAGGCACTGTAATATTATTACAAAATATCAAACTAGGGAAACATAAAGGATTACGCCTTTACCTTGAAATTCCACCAAAATGAGTATTGAAATTACACCCTCCCAATAAAAAGGGTAGGTAGGTCTGCTGTCTGCGCACGTGTACAATAAGGAGGAAGAAGTAAGGCAATATTTTTGTCTTGGGACAGACAAAAATTATTTTGTCTTCATAAAAGTGAAATTTTTTGGTTCCGAAACCTTTAATTTATTGAAATATAATACTTTCAGAAATTGAACAAATATTCACAGGTCATTCCTTAATTAAAACAATATAAATTTTCTCGTTTGTAAGTCACGGTTTGATTTTGATGTTTTAACATTTTTTGTTTTCAAACGCAGAAAAGATAAATATTTCTTGACTTGAAAGTTGCTGCTGCTGCTTTCATGAAATCACGAACGGTAGTTAATAAATCTGTTATAATTATTATTTAATTTTTGCAGTAATTTACATGTACAACACAATTCACTAGATTTCATACTTACACCTTAGCTGCAGATTTGTAGCTCGCTGGTTTAAAAATTGCGATGAATGACCAGAGGGCTACCATACTATCCTTTGAGAAAATAAATGGTATATTATAGCACCCAAAACAGTGCGGATTTTCACGATTTATTTCTGTGTATACTATAACTGCTATCTCAAAATATTCTTTGACTACTTTCACAATGAAATATATTGATAACGAACAGTATTCAAGCTCACAAGTCCATTCAATTTGTACAAATCTGGACAAAAGCAAACACGGACCTCTAAACCACCAATTGTTGAGAATCAGGTGCCATGAAGAGTGAGCACCCCCTGCCGACCGGTCACACTCGCCGTGTTCTCCATGCCATGATCAGGAAAAACACAAAAAAATCTGTAGACAATTATGTATGTAAAAAATGACCTAACAATAAGAATGAAAAACACCAGTCAGCATTTGTATTAATGATAGATTGTATTTGCTGAAAGGGTCATTGTATCGACCATAGAACTTGCAAAATTATGACTTTCATTGAGACTGTTGATATTCCTGTTTCTTCCACCTGTGTCAAGAGCTCGCCTCGTCTAAGAAATAGTTCGTGTGTAGAGCATGCTCTTTCGTATCACATCAACTTAGAGACATACATGTAAACCCCATATGCAGGTGATAGGGGTAAATCGCTAAAAAAAAATTCTAAAAAAAAGAACTTAAAACGAAGGGAAGTTGACGATTAAAAAAGTTAAAAGTCATCACATTTATCATAAATCTTTGTCGTTACATTCATCTCAAATTTGACATAAGGATACGTCATAGGAATACGCAAGTCAAGTTAATTTGGTCAGGGTTCGATGATTTTTGACAGAGTTATCCCGCTAGAACTTAGAAAAAAAACATTTTCAGTTTTTACTCTAACTTTTATAGGGATGTATATATAAGGTTGGAATAGCATATGCAGGTATTTTACCAGAAAATATAGGTCAAGTTTGAATTAAGTCGTGGTTCGATGACTATCCACAGAGTTAATCCTCTTGAAATTAGAAAAAAAAAAAGAAGAAGAAATTTGGCTGCCTGCGGGGGCATTCGTGGCGTTGCGACATATTTAGTTTGATCTTTTATTAGACTGAACGCGATAACCACTATGCCACGAAGTCTTCTTTTATGTAATTTAAATAATCGAGTTTGTCGAAGCGTAAATTTCGTTTCGGAAATGTTCGATTTTCATATAGAATGGGTTCAGACTCCATTTGTTGGAAACAAATTTACCTTTCTGTCATATAAACGTTAATGCAGAATGGAGACTTAACCCATTCATATTCAAAAATCACTTATTGTGGCTCCGATAAACCCATTTTCCAGCAAAAAGTGCTTCACTTGCAACTTTATCAATAAAATATAAAATATAAATATTATAATTTAAAAAAAAACATATAGACGACACAAAACGCAAACGTTACAAACATTTAGACTGACAATTGAAACATCTCAGACTTTACATAAGAAAACATTTTATAAGTTTAGTTCTTACCGGGACACACACACAAGTAAGAATACAAAAATTACTATCTGTATGGAATTTACACTGAGTGATACGTCTAACCGGTTCAATGGTTAGGATAGGAGTGCGGGTCGTTAGTAAGAAAAAGCGGGAATTTAGTGAATAGAATTGTAAAGTCATGTGACCGTTTGTCCAGTGTCTAAAAATACCAATGCCACAATCACACAGTCTTTCATACCACATACTCACATATATGAAAGCAGCGCAAATTGCATTTAATATTTTAATAATACATAACTCTGGTTACATAACTTTTCCATGAACTTTTAAAAAGAGCTGGAATTATCCTCGCCTTGTACGCCCCCTTTCTTTCTAAAATATTAAGAAATTGTAAACTTCAGAAGATATGAAAAATTCCAACTTTCTGCAACCATACTGTTTTTAAATCTATAAAACAAGCCAATATTGTGAATGTTTGAATAAAAATAGAATTTTGGGGTTCAACGTATTCATTTTACTTACTGTTTATTGTAAGGAAATGATTGAATTAAACGAACCTCTCAGAAGTCCATTGTCGCCCGCGTGGCGCACGCAGTTGTTAGAACGTCTGCTCTAGAACCGCGGAGTAAGGAGCTGATCTTTACGTCACGGTTTCGAATCCACTACGGGATGTGGAGACCGGTCCTTCGGATTAGACCGTATAAACCGAAGTCCCGTATCGTAGAAGGTGTTAGCAAGAAAAAGACCCCTCACTGCTCAATGGCCACGAGTGCCAAGTACACATGTATAAATTTGCAATCATCATCCGGTAAGTGTTGGCATCTCCATATGTGTGAAAATTCTCGAGAGGGACAAACAAACAAACAAACTATTTATCACTTTACAAATTGTATGCAAAACAATGGCAAACCTCTAAAAAAGAGGTGGGATCAGGTGCCATGGAGAAATGAGCACCCCTTTCATACAGTATCTATTTGTACATAACTACGCTCCGTCGGTATCTTTTAGTATGGCTTCACAGTGCTGGGTTGAAAGAATATTATTCTTTATTGCAATATGTCTTTTGGTTGGTTTATAGAATACCGATCAATGAGAATCTCTTGAGTGGCGACAGTTCCATTTACAGCAAATTAGAATCCTTATCTACCATTCAAGTCCCCCATTGCACGTGTACCGAAAGTGGTAAAACAGAATGCTCCTATAGCACATTCACGCCCTCTTATTCAAACCAAGGGAAACAATACACCTGTAACATTCATCTGATGAAAACCAGAAGGCGTAAGCGTGACATATCTTGGGAAAATACATTTCAGGAGCCTTTAGTGGTAATTAAGGTAATTTATATAAATGGCAACACCATAGACAAAGGATTCATTTGCAAATTTAAAGAAAAAATTGTCCTCAGTATTCTTGATATAAGTTAAGTGTAAAAATATTATACCACTATAACTTGAAGCACATTTCTTTTCAGAGAAGCAAACGTGCAGTTACGTATGTGCAAACAGAGGATTATGCTCAGGCTGTCTGTTTAAAGGCTTTTAATGATTCTACGGAATACAGGACTTGCCAGCAGTATGTCACCGACCTTAGTAATGTTACTTTGTCCAACTGTATTCAGGACCTTAAGGTAAAAACACAATAACAGACACGTTGTGTTGATTCTTGTTATTTCTCTGATTGAACTTTATAACCAGTATTTAACATGTAATTTTTTTTTAATTGTGTTTTGATAAGTCTATAATTGACAATTTTTTGTAATGTCATTTTGAATCTAGGTTATATGATTTCCCATATGCATTTTAAAAAAAAATGTATGTTTTGCATATTTTCTATATTAATTCAATGATCGTTCTAATCCTTTATTGCCCCTTTGAATATATATAAATATATATAAATATATATATATATATATATATATATATATATATATATATATATATATATATATATATATATATATATTGTACAGGTTTCATTTTTATTGTACAATACTGTATTACATTATCAATATTTGAATTGTCCCTTCTATTGTATTGAATAAGTATTAGAACAACATCCCATCCCCAAAAAATGATTACAACTGGAACAAATGCTTCAAAGTATTAAAAGTTAAACATTATAAATGGAAAAGCTAAAATATTGCATTACTTGCAAAAAATCTTACTTGGTTTGATTTTAATTTATTTCGGTGTTACATAAATGTATAGATTTCTGCGACTCCACTTGTTTTTATGGAATCGGTCGAAACTATTGAAACTATTTTTTCGTAAAATTTTAATTTTCTTCTTTGAAATGTATGCTATTCCTGTTTTGAAAATGTTTGCTAACTTAGTTACAATTCTTTAGATGACAGGTGATGACAACCTGACACAAATTCATGTAGAAGCTGCTTTAGAGCAATGCACAACGTTCGTTTTGTTAAATGCCACACTTCAGGAAACAGAACCTAATGTCACTTACACAATACAAAATCTCTGTCCTAGTAATTGTAGCAGTCATGGAACATGCAGCGGAGGTAATATTATATGACTAGGTGTCATTAGTATTTACATATTATGCTTTGCGAAAAACCTGACTGGATATATAAACTTTTTTATTTTATGACAGAAATTATGGATGGGTCGCCTTGAATGAAAGTGAGGTCTCTTAATGCGGATAATATGTAGTTTAGAAATTAAAGAGATTTTTCAAAAAAAGGAGTGAAAATACCGAATCACAATTTGGAATTAATTTTATTTATTTTTTTTTAACTTCTATTTGATAATGCTTTATTAGGAAACTGTTCTTGTGACAGCGGACATGGAGGAAGTGACTGTTCCTTTGATTTACTCGGACCTCCCACATTAACAAGTGTTCCCAGTGCTGGTCTCTGTGATCTTTCTAGTAGAGACTGTAGCGAGGCTACTATGTTCGGAAAGTACTTTGTGGAAAATATGGGCTCACTGTGTTACGTTAATGTGAAACAAGTATGTATTTAAAGTGTGACTTCCTTTGTTAAACCTTTATTCATCCCTATCTTCTTCATCGAAACGAACATGAAACAAGCTAATTCAGAGAATTTGTATCCACCGCTTAGAGAGAAAAAAAGAGCATGCGCAGTTCTGGGGTTGGGGGTCGGACCCCCCCCCCCCCCTGGATTTGTACAATTATTAAATGTATACATGTAAATTGAAGCATATAAAAAATGCCAATATGGATAAAAAAAATTTGATTGCTTATTCCTTAAAATGTGTATAGAAGGTTTTTTTTATATAGAATATTTTTCACACTGTAATAATGATTTTATGAGTTTGTAAACACCAGACATCATAACTTTTTCATTTCACATGTTAAGTACTATCATTTAGTTAATAAAAAAAATAAAAATGAGAAAAAAGGATCGTCCGGGATTTGAACCCGGGTCTCTCGCTTGCTAAGCCAGCATCATACCCCTAGACCAAGGAGGCACTTGATTATACAGCAGATTAAATTCAAACATTAGGTCACATATGATGTTTATATTCACGTTCGATATTGTCAAAATTTAACACAATACACGTTGTCTAATTTAGCCTTTACTAAACAGTTCTAATAGATGTAATTAGAATATCAAGTCCGCCGACAACCTGTATTATACGTAATAACTCTCCACATGTCCCTGTGCTAAAAATAGTGCCAAGCGACTATTGATACAATAAATAAAGAAAAAAAGGGGCGGGACACTTTGAGAGAGGTGAGAGAGGCCATTGGGAGTTATGGTATAAAATTTCATTGCAAAAGCTTCTTGAGATATCGCCCGGAAACGAAAGTGTTACACACAGACGGAATTTATAAATTAACGACCTTGAACTTTAACCTTTTAACCTCAAAATCAATAGGGGTCTTCCTTAGGCCACAGGGAGTTGTTGTGTAAAACTCCATTGCAAAAGCTAAAAGAATTCGCGAGATACAGCGCGGAAACGAAAGTGTTAAAACAGACAGAATTTATGACCTTGACCTTTTGATCTCAAAATAAATAGGGTTATTCTTTAGGCCATAGGGAGTTGCTTTGCAAAATTTCATTGCGAAAGCTCAAAGGGTTCTTGAGATATCGCGCAGAAACGAAAGTGTTACAGACAGACAGAAATACAAACGGACGGACGGACAGAGAGACCCAAATTAATATCCCCCACTTTCAGTGAAGGCTGGGGAGAAATATTCTTGCTCGTAATTTCTATTTCAGGTAAACGTAAACCAAACAACAGTCACAGAAGAACACAAACAGGTACAGCTACAGGAGAGGACTTTGTTTGAGGGTTTCTGTCCTCATTCTGTTAACAGCTCTGGCTTGTGGATAACTGAAATAACGTTCAACATCTCCAATGATGGTCTGCGCTTCACTGATACATATGAAATTTATATCTACCAATCTGAATGTCAGGAGTATCATAATGAATCCGGAAATGTGTTTTTCACTTTAAAGGTAAGCTATACGATAGATTAATTATTTCCCACATTTTATATTGAACCAAAAATAAAATTATCAGCAGAGTTGTATTTCAAAGCTAATTGTTCTTATTCTTCCCTTTAGTAAAGACGCAACATCCTTTAACCATTCTTTTTTCTACATCCCATTTTTTTTTAAACATATTGTTGAAACTGTTGAAAATATGGCATTTGCTGCAAGAGATTTAGTTGACAATTTGACTTGTGATCGGGCGATTTTCAATGAGTTTAATCAGAAGCAAACGGCTGAAAATCATAGGAATTATATTTTTTTTCTTTTTGCTATAATTTTTTTTATCCTTTATATAAGATGATCTAGATTAGATCAATTGAATTGATGTCATAAAATCTTCCAATACTCATTCAGTTTTCGTTCAATTGTAGCATTGCTTCTGTGATTAATGTTACCTATAAAACACTGGTTATTTTCTATGGTCTTCCCTTTTGGTTAATGGGATCGTTTTCTCCTGGGTTTAAGCTCCTGATAGATTTCTCATCAAATAACATTCAATCTGTTGCACAAATACCCGCTTCTCCTATGAAAGGTGTACTTTGAGAATTTAAGGAAAAAATTCCCAATTAGTTTGATAATACGGAAAGTTTGCGGGGATGGTTCAGCGGAGGGAAATTGGTATGGATGGTGTCCTGTGAGAGTTTCTTAGAAAAGAGGGTTATATTTTTTGATATGGGGATGATACCGGCGGATGTTGATGGTATTCATAGAATCATATTTATTGTATGATATTATTGGACGAATCCTTTCACATATAGTCCATTTTGGTGTGTTGTCCTCGAGGACAGCAATACTGCACACTACGTCCAAATCGTGTCAACAGAAATCTGGATCTTGATTCCACTCAACCTACACTTGTATTAGATTTTAAAATTTTTTTTTCTAAAGGTCAAGTGCTTACTTAAGATGGTATTCTTCCAGTGTTGTAGGATATTAGTCGGCCTGTTCCTTTCATAAGTTGTCTTTATCTTCAAAATCTTAACCAGACGTTAGAAAACAAGATGCTCTGTAGCGGAAAATGAAGAAGACATTAAAAGAATTAACCGTTGGGGGTAATTTTGAAAAGTTGGTCAAGCTCAAGGCTGGAATATTTTCACCATGGCTTACAGGAGCAGTGCGCATGCCAATAGCAATAACTTACCTCTCAAGGGTCAAAAAATATGTTGTATTATCTGCATTATGAAATATTTTGAAAAGCTGATAACGAGGTTGGTAACAATGGTATTTTACAAGGCTCTATTGCCAAGCAATACATTATCAAAGTAAACAAAAATCTCTTAACGGCGCAGGGTAAAATATTCCAAAATGATGATTTATCAGTATACAAAATGAATATTTATTTTAATTCTTACGTTGATTTAGTATACCCCTTAAAAAAGAAACCAGAGAGTGAAATATACGGAGATAATGAACAGTATTCAAGCTCACAAGTTCATTCAAACGATACAAATCAGGAGAGAGCAAGCACAGGCCTCTAAAACAGCAGAGGTGGGATCAGGTACCATAGAGTAGTAAGCATCCCCAGCCAACCGGTCACTCGCGCCGTATGCTTCTTGTCAAGATCGGGATGAAACAGAAAACATCCGTAGACAATTCAGTGTGCAAGTAACAATTAGTATGAACGCTTTACACGTTTTTCATCGGATATTCTACTAGAAAAAGAATGTCGATTTGAAACTAACAGTTAAACTATATTATACATGTGATGACATCAACTTTTCTATCAACAACTCCCTTCATTTATGTAGCAATTTAGCATTTTTACCAGCATATAGAGTTTATGTCTCTAAATTTATCCTATTCCGAAGAACATGTTCTACATATGAGCTATTTCTAAAACAAGTCGAGTTTATGACAAATAAGTTGATGATACATGAATATCAACAGTCTCAATTAAAGTTAATATTTCGCAAATTCTCTGGTCGGTACAATTACCTTGTTAGCAAACACAATCTATCGTTAAGTCGAATGTTTACTGACCTTCCTCATACAATATTAAGCTCCCTTTTCACACTATTTTCTATATGGCTTTTTCCGCTTATACGATCACTACAAGGCGCACATTGTAGGTGTGGCCAGTCGAAAGAGAATGCTTACTCCTCCATGACACCTGTATTTGCTCTCCGCAGAATCTGTATTGTTTTAATAGACTTGTGAATTTTTTCATTTGCCCTACAGGCGACAAATGCCTTATTCATTGTGAAGAAACCCCCAAAACATTACAGTATATGCCTGTAGAAAAAAACGACGCAGAGGGCTTAATTGTGGGGAAAAGTACCTTTCGACACGTTACTAAATGCATGTCTTCTGGTTTATGCAATAAACTGCCCTGAAGACTTAAGTAGAGTTTCTAGCTGAATGTTTTAGGTGCGATATGTTTGTATGATTTTATTCATTTTCATAGGAGAATTTTTGCTACATCGAAGGTATGTGTGTGCCCTTCATGGAAGAAAGCAGTGTAAACGAATGTTTGATGTGTAATACCACCGTTAGTCGGTACAATTGGACGGTATATGAATGTAAGCCTAAATTTCAGAGCAATACCCCTCTGTTTTAATAATACCAATATTTTTCTCTCTAAATATCGTATAGTTTAATTTAACGTTGAATTAAGGCATGAAATGATTATTGAACACTTTATACTAGTTCGATTTGAATCTAATTTCTTGCAGACTGTAAGCAAGGAACGATAACCGCCGACAATAAATCCTCCCTGTCTTCAGTCCAGCTTATGACTATTATTGTTGTCTTGTGTTCTCTCTGTGGATTTGCAGTATCCTTTATCACTGCTATAGTGATTTTTAAAACATGCAAGAAATTGTAAGTATATTGCATATCTCAATAAAGAAATATATTTTTAAATTGATTTAAGAAATGAAATAATGCATTTTATATGTAATTTAAAACAAAAGCCAAGTCAGTATAGATTCTGACACCAGCAGTATATATCAAAAAATAATTTTAATCGATATCATGTTTTGAGAAAATGTTAAAAATGACAATACCAACTTTACTGAAGCTAATTTATAGTCTATTTTTAATACTATCACGAAATACGTTGCATTAAAAAAATTGATTTGGATTTATCCCACCTCTAAATTTTCAGGTCACGTGTTTGCTCTGCTCCAAATTTGTATCGTTTCATTGGACTTTCGAGATTGAATAATGTTCGTTAATTATCTTCATATTTCATTTTATTGATATCGAAAGAAATTATCATCTAATATGTATAAAAAGAAGCCCGCTTCGATCAATTTGCTGGATTCTTTAGGAAATCAAGTCGTTGTATGATTTACAATCGTCAGTAAAATGTTTTTCATACAATCACGAAACATGTTTGAGATGACTCTTTATTTTTTTTTCTTCAGGAAAAACAGGAACCAGATCTTCGACACGAAAAAGTTGGACAACTGATAGGATATCCAGAGTTGACTTTCTGTGTTGCATAATATTTATCCCAAACAACTTAAATCTTTCGTTTTATGTTTTGAATCCCTGACATGCCTTACGAAACGAGATCAATTTAAAAGGAAAAGTAAAATAAATATTATGTCCTATTACTTTTCTTTAAAATATCATGGTGTTACATTGTCCACATATTTGTTTAAACTAACAACCAAATATAATCCTTTGCGATCAAGAAAAAGATGTATTCATATATTTTCTGTGAGGGGCTGTATGTGTCTGAAATTTATGTTGTGTATTTTTTTTTCGAACAAAGACCTATAAGAATCCATGCAAATGAAACAATTTGCAACATTCTTAACAAATTGTTTGTTGTATAGATTTCCCGATATATTTACATTTTTGTCCATTTTTATTCTTGAATTTATCTTTACTCACTCACAGCGTTTACCGATTATCAACCAATGGCTCAGGAAGCTTATCAAGCCTGAAAGATAATGACGCTAATGTTGTCTTTACCGTGGAATAATTTCAAGGATTGTCGGAGAGCAGAAATCCTTGAATTTTTATAAAGTTCACTTAAGTACATTTTGCATACAAGGCTTTGGCATCAAATGGCACTGAACGTGTCATAATGCCTTTAAAAGCATATCTGATAGAAACGTTCTGTGGATGAAGTCTTTTGGAATGCAAATGGACTAGATTTTAGTTATTCTTCAAAGTTTCTGACTTGCAGTAAGAAAATTTTGTGGAAGCCTTCATCGCCATGCACATAAAATTAAACACCACATAAGAGTTGGTTTACCGTCAGACACTTCAATCTTTAATAATATTTGGTAAAATACACCAACAATCTTTTCTTACCAAAGTAACTGTTAGTGTGATGATGCACAGTGGAACTTTTCTAATCCGGTCATCACTTATTCTAAAAAAAAAAATCGGCTAGATAAGAATTATTTCGGACTAGACAATATCTGAAACAATAAAATTTAACTGAAAGCGACTTAAATTTTAGATTGTATAAGGCAAGATTTCGGAAGGAATACGTAACATCCGAATTTTAGTTTCACTGAATATATTTTGCTTGTTATGAAAACACCGGTTAAAAACGATCGTTAATTAAAAAATGTAAGAAGAGAGTCATTTTCAAAGTACTGATCATGAAATGTAGATAAACGAGATCATCAAACTAAGTCTTTAAAGTAAAAAAAAAAGTTGGCAAGAACTTAAAACACTGAGGGGAACAATTTCAAAGTACTTGTTTTAAAAGTAAAATTAACTAGAGCAGAGCTCATTGCAAAGCAACGAGTAGGTCTTCCGTTGGAGCTGCGAACAGGAAGAAGTGACCTTGAGTCAAGGTCATGCCACATTCTAAGGTTATAAGCAATCTTGTAAGGGGTATCAACTTGCAATGTCTCACCAGTAGAAAGACAGTTAAGGAATGTTGTTTCTCCGTTGATGACCTTGAACTCGTTCAAATGACCTTGCATCAAACCATGACACACTCTGGTTATAAGCAAACCCCATCTATGTGTTACCGACTCGACAAGTTAACACATGTTCTTTCAGACCATTCATCCAGTCAAAACATTCTTTCCTTAGTGACCCTAAATTTAATCAACATGGCCGTAGGAACCGAGGGAGGGCCCCCCAATAATTTTGCCGATATATAGATTACTATAGTAGACATAGATACTATAGCTTGTGCCACCTCAATAAAAACGTCTGATAACCTTCTTTTTTTTTGCTTGTCAAGGAATTTTTGGTAGTTGGTGACTTTTTTTTCTGCTTGTCAGGAAATTTATGGTAGTAGTGCCCCCTGAACTGTCGACTGAAAATGTATGGCTGCCCCCCCCCCCAAAAAAAACCCCTGAATTTGCTTCCTATAGGCCTGATCAAGGCAATGATACACTCTGTATGATATCAGCGATACCCTTTTGTGTGTTTCGGAATTGACAAGTTCACAGTTTGCATTTATTGCATGATAGTGAGGGAGACATGAAGATTTCTTCGCCCATGAAAAATCATACTCCCCGGAGGCAACGCCCGAGGGAAATATGATTTTTCATTTGCGAAGAAATCTTATGTCTCCCTCACTATTATGCAATAAATTGTTTATAATACCGAATTAACCAAAATGCAGAAATTACAAAGGAGATCCAATGAATAAAGCAAACATGCATTTGATGAGAACGATATGAAAGAGATGTAAGTTACAGGTACACCAATAGCCTCGTTTCATTAAAAAAAAAATTCCTACGTGACAAGTTTGTGTGATCACACCAGTAACATTCAAACACCATTACACTTTTAAACATTTAAATCGACACAATCAATCAACGATAATATGTTGACGGTGCGACCGTTGCGCGAGTGCATTGTTCACTTAATTTTAAGATCCGCCTCTTCAAACAGCACGAGACATTTAGAACATCTAGACTGTGACGTCTCATGACGTATGTTAGCTGTATTTCCATAAACGAATTTTGAAAAGTGCAAACATTTTAACAAAGAACGTTTAATCTACTATCTGTATGCAATTCCATTAATTAAGGTGATTTTTTGGGGTGAATTTTAAGTTGTTGTTACCGCGCGAACGAAGTTAGCAGCGTCGCTATAAACAATCTAACTCCTCACTCGTTTAATTGTGACGTCACAATCGTGAAACACGACGTTTTGTTGCAGGGCAAACATGATGGACACGTGACTTTCTCGGCCAATCAAATTCTATTTTACTAGTGATTTTTCACTTGTAAGCTAGTTTTCACAGAGGTATAATAAACGTTTTTTTAGACCATACATCGAAATAAATTATCATAATTTCTATAGTCGTAATTTATTAGGTTCAACTCACTGCTTTAAAGGATCATTGTAAATGTTTTATGCCCGATTTGGATACTGAACAACGTGTGATTTTTGAAACACTGATGCCCCATATGGCATCTTGTGGCAAAAGTTAAAAGTTTCTCAAATGCAAGTCAAACTCCATGGTCAAGATCAAAAGATAAAAAAAAAATGTTATTACCCAAATAAAGGTCTTGAACAAAGAATATACTGTGAAATATATACTAGTATGAAAGCCACAGCAGCAACAGTTTAAAAGTTATGGCCAAGGTTAATTTCTTTAAAAGGTCAAACTCCAAGGTCAAGGGATCATAATTGTTTGTACTTGAGGGAAGGTCTTAATTGTTACAAGGAATAGACATGTGGTATTAAAAAAGCCTTAGCACCAACTGTTCAAAAGTTAAAACGAAGGTTAAAGTTTTTCAAAAGTAGGACATACTCAAAGGTCAAGGTAAAATGGTCAAAATTAAAGGTATACATTGACAGGCCTTGTCACAAGAAAATTACCTATGTAATATAAAAGCCCTAGTACTAGTCATTCATAAGTTATTGTCAAGGCTAAAGTTGTTTAAAAGTTGGTCAAACTCCAAGGTCAAGGTCAAATGGTCAAACATATTTATACCCAAGGAGGAGACTTATCACAAGGGATACAGATGTGAAGTATAAAAGCCATAGCACCAACTGTTCAAAAGTTTTGGCCAAGGTTATAGTTTGGTAAAATTTTGCGAAAGAGGATCAAACTCCAAGTTCAAGGTCAAGAGGTCAAATATGTTGGTACCTGAAGGAAGTCCTTGTTACTAGGAATACACATAAGAAATATGAAAGCAGTAGTTCCAACCAATCAAATTTTATGGGCATAGTTAAAGTTTTTGCGGACAAAGAGGCTAACACAGTCTAACAGACAAATAGACAGGCGGACAGGACAAAAACTGTATGCCCCCCGGATCTTCGATTACAGTAGCATAATAAAATGTCGGCGTCTTTGGGTTTTCGCATTGGCCTTAAATCTGAAAATCCAAAGGATTACAAGGTGCATTACGATACGCTTTCACATCATGTTCTATAACCCAGAGCATATTGTCTGCAAAGATAAATATTTAATTCAGTATTTAATTAGCTATGCATAATTATCTATGTTGTTTTAAAAAGGAAATATAAAAAAAATATTTGTTTTATATTTTTCGATGTAGAGATATACAGAAAATGTTTTCCAATTTTAAGTCCTATCGCAATACACATTTTAAAAAAAGTGTGTGTTGGAGGGGGGGGGGGTCATTACATTTTTGCTGGGATTCGCCTATGTATGACCGTAGAGAAACAAAGAGAGGGGAGGGTGCAAGCAGCAACTAAATCAAAATTTACATATTAAAACTACAACAAAAGACTATTTTCAGAAGGTCTGCCCACCCCCCCCCCCCCCCCGTACAATCCGTACAACGGACCTGTGAGAAAAATACTGATCCTACATTCAGAGTCCCAGGGCACCAGGAAAGAGTGGCAAAAAGAGAATATCGGTTTATTTCAGTCTATAAGTCGAATCAAAATATCTTTTCCTCAAGAGTCTTCTTTCTTTGAGTTCTTCCCAGTGATCGTGTGATTTATTTCATTTAATTTACGTTCTGTACTGGACTTGGAAATTAAATGAGGACATCTTTAGGTTCCTGAGCTGGCCTTGAAGCCCGCAGAACAGATTTTCTGCTTTATGATAAATTCAAGTGATATGTAATTCGGTATTAATTTTGTGTTGATTTTATTAATGTTAATTTCATCAAGAAATATGAAAAATTAATGTTTTAACTATACATAGTGAGGCATTTTTTGTGTGGAACGATTATTTTGGGGTTTTCACGATTTTTTCATATGGTACACATGATGAGTAAGTGCAATAAATATAATTTGTGGAAAAAATGTCCAACAAGCCCCGGGGTTGAATATCGGGGGGGGGGGGGGGTCTGTCCACAAGTACCTGTTGTCAAGCCCGTAGAAAACAATTTGTCTTTTTGGGAAGGGGGGGGGGGCAAATAGAAATTTCCACAGGTACTTGTACTCGATTTTTTCCTATGGTACACATGATGAATAAGTGTAAAAAATATAATTTGTGGAAAAAAATGTCCAACAAACATTGGGGTTGAATTTGGGGGGGGGGGGGGGGGATCCTGTCTACAAGTACCTGTATAAATTTCTTGATACATAAACAGAATTTAAAAGCATGTATTAGACATCTTTTGAAGGGGAGAGGGCACGGCCGTAATTAAAAGTTATATAGAGACTAGGAAGGAATGAACTGTCATTAAATTTTG